TCCTCCCTGTCTTGAAAATTGGGACCACATTAGCCAGTTTCCAATCCCCCAGCACCTGGCCAGATGACCACGAATGCTCATACAGCCGGGCCAAGGGCTCTGCAATGACCCCTGCCAGCTCCCTCAACACCCTTGGGTGGAGGGCATCTGGACCTGCAGATTTAAAAATGTCTAGCCCTTCCAGAAGATCCCTAACTACATCTGTGCTGACTGAAGGCCTGACAGAGCTATCCTCGAGACTGTCCCGAGCTCTGGTAGGTGGGATGTCCCGGTCCCTGTTCAAGAAAACGGAGGCAAAAAAACTGTTAAAAATATCAACTTTCTTGTCTGGCATAGCCACAAGATTACCATTTGCGTCTTGCAGGGGCCCTACATTGCCTGGTGCCCTCTTCTTGCTCCCAGTGTACTTGAAAAAGGACTTTTTGTTGTCCTTAACCCTGGACACTAGCCTGAGCTCCATCCCCGCCTTGGCCTTCCTAACAGCCCTCCTACCCTCACGGGCTGAGGAGGAGTACTCCTCCTTGGACATAGCTCCTCCCTTCCACTGGTTGTACACCCCCTTTTTTTAGTGTTGCATCTGGCTGGATAGGTAGACGCCTTCAGTCCCTAGGGCTGGCAGTCCGACATCTTTCCCCAGTGCTGACAAGTCCTACAGAAGTCAATTTGGCCATAAATCATTACAAGTAGAGCAGAGCAGGGCCCGTCCTTTCCCAGTAAAATGTAAACTGTGTAGAATTAACTTGAGGCCATTGATGCTTAGGTGAAGCAGGAGAAGACTTTTGGGTGTCAGCACAAGCTCTCAATTGTTAAAAGACATTTCAGTAGGCAGCAAGAGCATTTGCAGTGATTGTTTTAAGGTGCTATTTGGGTTTATGCTGTTTAATTTTGCAGTTTCATAGTTTCATAATTTCTAGGGTCGGAAGGGACCTGACCAGATCATCTAGTCCGACCACCTGCCATGGCAGGAAGAGCACTGGGGTCAAACGACCCCAGTAAGGTGGTCATCCAACCTCCTCTTAAAAACCCCCAGGGTGGGAGCCTGCACCACCTCACTTGGAAGCTGGTTCCAGACCCTAGCCGCCCTGACCGTGAAGTAGCGCCTCCTGAT